CGGCGGTTCTCAACCCGTGGGTCATGACCCCTTTGGGGTCGAACGACCCTTTCACAGGGGTCGCCTAAGACCATCCTGCATGTCAGATATTTACATTACGATTCATCACAGTAGCAACATTACAGTTATGAAGTAGCACCGAAAATAATTTTATGGTTGGGGGTCACCACAACATGAGGAACTGTATTAAAGGGTCGCAGCATTAGGAAGGTTGAGAACCACTGCTTTACATTATGGGTGTCCTAAAGCATGACGGTGGTTTGGGAGTATCTCCTGGGCGTTTGGAATATTTGTTGCGGGATTCTGGGTCTCCTTTGGAGAATATTGATTTTTGCTTGTTCGTTTGGATTTTTGAAGCCACCAATCTGGTTAGGTTAGACTGCACATCCGTCTTGCCTTCTGTGGGAGGCGGTCCCGGGCCAGATCATTTTTCACAATTTTCTGTGTGCTTCTTTGGGTTTGTTCAAAGCCAGTGTATCATGGCACACACAGAATTAGGGACCCCCTTCTCCAGCTCTTTTCTTTAGGGGGTATTTTCCCCATTCTCTGGTCCCCTCTTCTGTTCTTCCGGCCCAAAAGATGGGGGTGGGGGGTTTCAATTGGAGTTTAGCTTTCTGTCCCACTGCACAGTCTGAATGACTGATCCTGTTCTTGGGGTGAAATGGTGAGAGAAAGGACAGAAAAAAACCCGTGGATTCCCCTCACATGGTCCACATAACATTGCGATGGGTGGGTTTTCTCTTGGGACCCTTGGTGCCTGGATGGAGTGCAGTCCTGGTGGGAATGTAAAATGGCTCAGCCACAGTGGGAAACAGTTTGGTGGTTTCTCAGAAGGTTAAACATGAATGAATATGTGGTCCAGCAAGTCTACTTCTAGGTATACACCCCAAAGAACCGAAAAACAGTTGTTCAAACAAATACTTGTATGGAAATGTTCTTAATAGCCAAAAGGTGGGAACAACCTTAATGTCCATGAGCTGATGAATGGATACACAACATGTGATCTAACCACATCATGGAATATTACTCAGCCAAGGGGCGAGATTCTGATCCAGGATGTAACATGGGTGAACCTTGAAAACACTTTGCAAGGTGACAGAAGCCAGCCAGCCAGCCGGCGTGGCTCAGTGGTTGAACATCAATCCATGAACCAAGAGGTCCCTGTTCAAATCCCAGTCAGGGCACATGCCTGGATTGAGGGCTCAATCCCCAGTGGGGGGCATGTGGGAGGCAGCTGATGGATGTCTCTCTCTCATAGATGTTTCTATCTATCCTTCTCCCTCCCTCTCTCTCTAAAATAAGTAAAAACATATATTTTTTTAAAGAAGTCATCACGAAAGACCACACATTGTGTGATTCCACTTGTATGAACTATTCAGAGTAGGTGAATCCATAGAGACGGGCAGCAGGTTAGTGGTTGCTGGGAGAAAGAGGGAGTGGGGAATGACTGCTTGGTAGGTGTGGTCTTTGGGGATTGATGAATATATTTTGAAATTGATGGAGACAGCATTGTAAATGTACTAAATGCCACTGAATTCAACACTTTAAAATGGTTAATGTGGATTTCATCTCAATAATAAATAAATTAGAAAAAAAAGAGCTTTGTTAAAACAGAAAAGCTACCTACCCTAAAGTTAGTGACTAAAGGTTAATCAGGCCAGATCTCGTGGTGGGGAGTAAAATCGCAAATGCCTTGTAGAGCAGGACCTGGGAAGGATTACCAGGTCAGAACCCATGGTCTCTGCCCCATCCCATCTCCCAGGTGACTGACCTGCAAAGGCTGGGGTCAGTACACTTGTTTAGTTCGACTTGGGGACATTCTGAGGGAGGGACAGTGCCCAGAGGGACCCAGGGTTTGGTTGGATGCCAAGCTCATTCATGAGGTCTTAGGTTAAGATTCTGGACACTGTTAAATTGCTTTGACAACTGTGTGTTTTTCATCTGTCCATACTTACTTCTTTTTGCAATCATACACACTAGAAACTTGAAAATTCTTCCTGGATTTCAGATCTTACCCTTGCAAGGATTATGGCTGAAACCAGTGTCCTATTTGACTTTTGGAGGGCCAGAGCGTTGTTTCTGGTGGTGATCTGAAGGCCTGTGGGAAAGTGTTCAGACTTTCCAGGGCTTTCGAGGGAGATGGGGGCTCCCGAGAGAGCTGTGGTGGTGAGGAGTGCGCACCTGGATTGGAAGCCGCACGCTTACCTGCTGTGTGATCTTGGGCAGTTCAGTGTCTTAGGTAATCCTTTGTTTTCTCCACTGTAAAATGGAGACAATAGCAGAATTTTCTTCATTAGGGTCTCAGGAGGATAATGTAAAGTGATGCATATAAAATACTTAGAAGACTATCTGGTACATAGCAAATGCTCAATAAACAGTAACTATTATTTGTGTGAATGATAATTGTTCTTGCCGAAACCGGTTTGGCTCAGTGGATGGAGCGTCGGCTTGCGGACTGAGGGTCCCAGGTTTGATTCCGGTCAGGGGCATGTGCCTGGGTTGCGGGCGCATCTCCAGTGGGGGATGTGCAGGAGGCAGCTGATCGATGTTTCTCTCTCATCGATGGTTCTAACTCTATCTCTCTCCCTTCCTCTCTGTGAAGAAATCAATAAAATATATTTTAAAAAAAATTGTTCTTACTATGATTTTTTTGCATAACCAGTGACTCTACTAGTATTTAAACATTTTCAAACAGCACCTAAAAGTTCCATTTCTTGCTACAAAATTATGAGGATTAAAGTAAAAACTTACTTTTTTTGTTTCATCAGTACCTTCAGTCTAGTATATTCAACCAACATCTAATTCTCTCTGGAAATCTTGGAGGATTAAACTAACAAGGGCTTTGAAATATTCACAGAAGTTGCAAGCAGTGAAGATTCTGAACAGTAGTCTCTTTGCCAGTCCTGCCTTTGAAGGGCTAAAGCGCATGTGCATCCAAGGCTGGCTCTGAAAGTCTGATGAATTCTGAGTCATGCATTGTCCTGTTTATAGCATTTTAATGGGAAGGGATGAAGAAGTTAGACATTTGCCTAGACTTTTTGAAATCATTTCCTCCCTTGAAAATGTCTTTTATTTCTTAGTCCCTTCCTAGAGAATATCAAAAGAAAACCCCCTGCATCTTGAAATGTCTTTCATCAATCCCCAGACCTTTCACACCTTAAAATCTATTCCCTTCTCCCCGCCCAGCTCAAGACTTGAAATGGTTTTGCAGAAATGGATGACAAGATAGCAAGGGTTGCGATTAATAACCCTCCAAACACCTTGGTACACACCTCCCCTATTTAAAATGAAAAATTACCCTTTTCCCCGAGACTCTATTAAAAGGGATCAAAAGCAGCAGGGAAGAGTTGATATAATGCAGTCCATCCGCAGCAGCCTTCGAAGGGAGGAGTGGAGGCCCCGCCAGTGGAGCAGTTGGCAGCGGGACGATGATGAGGCTCTTTGCCTCTTCATCCCCAAACTTCTCATTTTGAAATGGAGGCATGGAGAGGCGAGGATTTGATGGTGATGGGAACTGGGCAGGGCAAAGCCTTTCTTCCTCTCTGTTCATCGGGGCAAGTTAATTTGAAACAACTTCAGGACGGGGATACTTGGGGGCAACTCAGTGCTTCCTTGAATCTAGTGGAGGTGTGTGTGTGTGTGTGTGTGTGAACAACTGTAGGTGAAGGGCGGCAGTGGGCCCAGCTTACCTATAGGTGGCTTCCCTGGAAGAGGTTTTAGCCAAGTCCTATCCTATCACTCATTCACACTCATTTATAAAATGAATCAATAGCACCTACTTTACAGGGCAGGTAAGGTAAGCACAGTGAATGGCTGGGGAGCAAATTGGATGAGTCCCAGGCACCCAGAATAGATGTCTCCAGCGACCTCAGTCACCTGCCTACGTGCCTGCATCATCGTGCTGGCCCAGGCTCTGAGCTGACGGCTTCACTCACTCTATCTCACTGTGTGCTCCTTACTTCACGCTGATATTTGCTCAGATGCCCACTGTCACTTCCTCATTCTCTGCTGACTGAAGGGACTCCCCAGCATTGTTTTGTGTGTGTGTGTGTGTGTGTGTGTGTGTGTGTGTGTGTGTTTCTGTTCCAAGCCTGCTTTCTTTCCCATAATTGCACTTATTATCACTGACAATCACAGATAATGTATTGTACATGGCAGCTTATAGATAATACTAGAGGCCCGGTGCACGAAATTCATGCATGGGTAGGGTCCCTAGTGGCTGCCAGCTGCTGGCCAGGGCCTTCCTTTATTCCATGCCGCCCCCTGGTGGTCAGCGCACGTCATAGTGAGCAATCGAACTCCTGGTCGTTCAAACTCCCGAGGGGACACTTTGCATATTAGGCTTTTATATATATAGATTTTATCTGTGTCATTTATTTGTTTATCCCCTTTTCTCCCCTGTTACTCCACAAAGTATGCAAGCTCTGCAAGGACAGCGACTTGGGCCTTTTTCGTTCATTGCTCTGTCCTGGTTCCTAGAATAATGCCTGGTACCTGAGAGGTGTTCACATGTCTATGAAACACTTGGATGAGTGAGTGGATACATTTGACCCTTGTTGCACCCTCCAAAGGAGCCATGATCATTCTCATTTTACAGACCTCAAAACTGAGGCTCAGAGAGGTCAAGTAACTTGCCCAAAGCCACAGAACTGTCATTGTTGGAGCCAGAGTTCTAAGCCAGATCTCTCTGAGTCCCTATCACACATTCTTTGCATTTCACCCAGGGAGGGCAAGAGCTATAGTTAGTGACAGTGTCCTAGTGGCTTCTTTGTGGCCTTGGAATGCAGTGTATTATGAAGATAACTTAAAAAATATTTTTACTTTCTTAAACAGGTTTTACTTATGTTAATTGGACAATAAGCTTGTATTCCTTGAGCAAATACAGTGTAGTGTGCATATGCTGTCACGTGTAGTGTGTATACAGTGTAATGTGCACATAGGCATAAGTACAGAGAGTGTAACACACCTGTTTTGTTCTCTGCTTCTTTGTGACAACTCAGGCGGCAACCTTTCCAAACAAGACTGGACCATCCAGTGGCCCACCACAGAGACGGGGAAGGAGAACAGTCCAGTGTGTGCCCCGGAGCCGACGCCATGGATCCGCACCCACCTCTCCCAGAGCCCCAGGGTGCAGTCCAAGTGCGCCCAGCTGTACTGTCACGCCAGCCCCACCCCTGGGGCCCCTGTGTATACCCAAGTGGACAGGCTCACTGTGGACACCTACCCGGGCCTGTGCCCGCCACCCCCCCTGGAATCAGGCCACCGTTCCCTGCCCCCGTCGCCCCGGCAGCGGCATGCAGTCCGCACCCCACCACGCACCCCCAATATCGTCACCACCGTGACCCCGCCAGGCACGCCACCCATGAGGAGGAAGAACAAGCTGAAGCCCCCAGGGACCCCGCCGCCCTCCTCCCGGAAGCTGATCCACTTGCTCCCGGGGTTCACGGCCCTGCATCGGAGCAAGTCCCACGAATTCCAGCTGGGCCACCGCGTGGACGAGGCCCACACGCCCAAGTGAGTGCATGGTGGGTGCCCTGGGGCAGCTGAGCCCGGGGCTGTGGGAGGGGGGTGGTGGGGGGCTGCCCACCTTGAGGCCCAGGACCTGCCCAACTCAGGGAAGCCTGAATAGTCTTATGTTTCCCTCCTCCAGTTGAATGAAAGATCCATGAGAAAATAGAGTGGAATTTTCCAGAAATGACCCTTCTGAATACTATTACTGTCCTAAAGTAGGGGTCTGCAAACTGTAGTTTGGGGGTCAAATATGAATCTCTGGCCACAATGTCAGGTTCATATATATTGTCCCTGGCTGCTCTCCCACTGTGATGGCGGCGTAGAGTATGGCCCGCAAAGCCATAGATACTGACCATGGGGCCTTTGCCGGGGAAGTTTGCCCACTTCTGGGGGGTCTACCTTAGTGTTACCCCTAGAAATAGGATGTGAATGTCACAGGCAATATAATGTTTTCTAGTGGCCACATTCAAAAGAGTGAAAATAAACAAGGGCTAGGCATTTCCATAATATGTGTTATGTAGCCCATTATATCAAAACTAGAGGCCCGGTGCACAAAAATTTGTGCACTCGGGCGGGAGGGGGGGTCCCTGAGCCCGGCCTGTGCCCTCTCGCAGTCTGGGACCCCTCGGGAGATAATGACCTGCTGGCTTAGGCCTGCTCCCGGGTGGCAGAGGGCAGGCCCAATCCCTAGGTGCAGCCCCTGGTCGGGCTCAGAGCAGGGCCGATTGGGGAGTTGGGGCGCCGCCCCCTGTCATGCACAGAGCAGGGCGGATCAGGAGGTTGCGATGCCATCCTCAGTCACGCTCAGAGTAGGGCTGATTGGGGGGTTGGGGCACCGCCCCCTGTCACACTCAAGGCAAGGTCGATGGGGAGGTTGTGGCGCCACCCCCTGTCACGCACAGAGCAGGGCCAATCAGGGGGTTGGGGTGCTGCCCCCTGTCACGCACAGAGCAGGGCCCATCAGGGGGGTTGGGGCTCCGTACCCTGTCACATACAGCGCAGGGTTGATCAGGGGGTTGGGGAGCTCCCCCTGTCACAGAGCAGGGCCGATCAGGGGGTTGAGGAGCTCCCCCCTGTCACTCACAGAGTAGGGCCCATAGGGGCGTTGGGGCACCGCCCCCTGTCACACACAGAGCAGGGCGGATCAGGGGGTTGTGGCGCCACACCCTGTCACACTCAGGGCAGGGCCGATGGGGAGGTTATGGCCCTACCCCGTCACACACAGAGCAGGGCCTGTGGGGGGGTGGGTTGGGGCGCCGCCCTCTATCACCCACAGAGCAGGGCCGTTCATGGGGTTGGGGCACCGCCACTCTCACACTCAGGGCAGGGCCGATGGGGAGGTTATGGCTCTACCCCGTCACACACAGAGCAGGGCCCGTGGGGGGGGGGTTTGGGGCGCCGCACCCTGTCACACACAGAGCAGGGCCGATCAGGGGGTTGGGGTGCCGCACCCTGTCACACACAGAGCTGCAGGGCGATCAGGGGGTTTGGGCACTGCCCCCTGTCACGCTGATCCCGGTGCGGGGAAGCCTCGCGGCTCCGCTGATCCTGGTGCTGGGAGGCCTCGCGGCTCCGCTGATCCCGGTGCTGGGAGGCATATTACCCTTTTACTATATAGGGTAGAGGCCTGGTGCATGGGTGGGGGCCGGCTGGTTTGCCCTGAAGGGTGTCCTAGATCAGGGTGGGGGTCCCCACTGGGGTGCCTGGCCAGCCTGGGTGAGGGGATGATGGCTGTTTGCAGCTGGTCACACACCCTTCAGGGTGGGGGTCCCCACTGGGGTGCCTGGCCAGTCTGGTGAGGGGCTGAGGGCTGTTTTCAGGCTGGCAGGTGACTGAAGCTCCCAACTGCTCCTTTTTTCTTTTTTTTTTTTTTTTTTTTTTTTTCTGGGCCAGCTTTAGCTCTGGCTCCAGCTCTGAGGCCTCTGCTGCTGAAAGCAGGTATCTGGTTTGTTTGGGTTCTATAGTCGAAACACTGTATCAACTCCAGCTCTGAGATCCCGGCTGGCTGAAAGCAGGTTTCTGGGGTTTTGTTTAGCTTCTATATTTGTAACAATGTTTCAAACTGCAAGCTCAGAGGCCGGCAGTGGCAGGCGGGGAACGTTGGAGTCCTCCGTCACTGAAGCAGGCAAGCCTCATGTTAGCTTCAAGCTGCCTGGCTGCCGGCTGCCATCTTGGCTGGCAGTTAATTTGCATATCGTCCTGAATAGCCAATGGGAAGGGTAGCGGATGTACGGCTAATTACCATGTTCTCTTTTATTAGATAGGATGTTGTCACTGTAGTGTGGAGTCTGGAGGCATTTTGCTGTCTTTTTTCCCGCCATTTGTTTGAAATCCAGTGTACATTTTACGCTTACTGCTGACCTCGATTTGGATTGCCCTCCTTTCAAGTGTGGAATGGCTACACGGGTGAGGGGCTATTGTCCAGGTCAGCCCTAGGCCCACCCTGTGCAAGGGACATGCTTAGTGTTGTAACTAAGATGCATGTCCTGACCTGCTCAGCTTCCTTGTCAAAATGTTAGTCAACCATACACATATGTGGGTTCATTTCTGGGCTCTTGATTCTCTTCCATTGGTCTGTGTGTCTGTCTTCATGCCAGGACTTTAAACATCAGCCTTTCTTTGGACCCCTGTGGGATTTATTGGGCTGAATTGCCCACTTCCTCCTGGTCTGCCAAAATCGATTGGGCTGACCTTCAGTGTTTCTTGATATTTTGTATCAAGATTCAAGTTAAGTTCAGCTTTGCCCATCAGAGTTCTTCTGTTCAGTTTAGCAAGCTCTACACTTCCTCAAGGAAGGCCCTCCCCGGGCACACCTCCCAGGGCTGCCGATCTTCGTGGCAAGGAGCCAGCAGAGGAGAGCGGTGGAGTGGTCAGTTTGGTGGTGTGGATGATGCCATGTGACTACTTGGCCTGGGACCACGCCACCATATCCATAGGGACACGAGGGCACCTGAACGTTAGATGTTAAAAAAGATGCAAAATAGAGTCAGTGGTGCCTGGACTGTGTAGGCCGGGGGAGTAGGGCTGGAGAGGGATTCTAACCAGGGAGGTGAATGAAGGGCTTATAGAGAGACATTAGTTGAGTTGAGTTCTAATAAGTAGACTGATAACAACAGCCAGCATTTACATCCTGGTTCTGCCAGGAAGTAGCCTTGTGATCTTTGACTTAACCTCTCCACGGCTTAGCTTTCTCATCTGTGAACCAAAGGGGTTGGAATACATTCGTGCTTTTAAATCTGTGATCATGCTCACTCATGGATGGCTGTGACCAGCACTCCAAAAAGGAAATGGCCTCGCCTCGCCTGGGTCCTATTGGGATGCATTGCCTGTGGCTGCAAGACCTTCCATGACGCCTCCTTTATGGGCTTTGCTTCCTTCTTTGCCTGACCTCTCCACGTTGTCATGCTTCCCAGGACCATCTCCCAAATATACAGCTTGTACCCCAAAACCTCTCCCAGGGTCTGGTTTTGGAGGAACCCAAACAAAGATAGGAATAAAGGTAATCATTAATATGATTGCGTTCAGCTCTATACATAGCTGTGTGCACACATTTTTACTAAATTAAAAGATTTGTTGGTAGAGCCCCAGCTGGGTTGCTCAATTGGTTGGAGCATCCACCAAAAAAGGTGGTGGGTTTGATTCCAAGTCAGGGCTGATACCTAGGTTTTGGGTTCTGTCCCTGGTTGGGGCACATACAGGAGGCAACCGATCGGTGTTTCCCTACCGTGGACCAGGCACTGGGATACAGAAAGGAGTGTGGAGGCAAATCCCCTGGTCAGTGTGGAAGGCACCAGTGTAAGGAAAGATGTCAAGTTTACACATTTGATCGCATTTTGGAACAGTCAAGGGTTTCTTTTCCCCTGAGCAGAAGGGAAAGGTGTCAAGGAGAGAAGTAAGTGACATTGGGTGACATTGTAATGGGGTCTCGTGGATGCGTTTGAGTAGGCTGGGCAGAGAGGATGGGGAGAAACTCCAGTACCCAGTCTGACCCGATTCAAATGACTGAAGGCAGGCTTGGCACGTCTGGCACGTCTAAGGCCAGCCATTCCTCCTTCTGTTCCAAAGGCAGGCATTTCTCATGGGCTCTGGCGTGCCATTAGAATCCTTCTCAACAGAAGGCTCTTGGAAGTCACTGCCAGTCAGTCAAAACTGGAACGTTCGGTCATCGCATTTCTATCCCTTCCCAAAGCCCTTCATTCTATTGATTAGAGCCGGGGATTCTTCTCTTGTTGGGGTTGTGACTGAGAATACGAAACAAAGGAAGGTGAGAAAAAGCGGGGGAAGCTTGTATCATCCTTGCGCTGGTAAGCAGATTTCCTGGCTGCTGTTGTAGGACACCTGTGGTTTCTTGGTGCTGTGATTATCTTATAGATGGAAGTGTCATCCTACAGGTCCATGTTCATGCAAGCCACGCTGCTTAACCACAGGTGGGATGATGGGTTTGGTGTGACACCAGAGTCTCGAAGACATCGTCGTAGTTACTGTTATTGCCATCCTAGAGGGAAGGGCATTAGAGTCACACTTAGGGTTGCGGTACCTGGGAATAAGAGCACGTCTGCTGTCCAGCACGTCTGCTGTCCAGGAAGCTGCAGGGTTTCCTGAGGGACTTCATTCGTGGAGTGGAATTGATGGTCCCTTTTTCTCTCCAGTGGTAATCATGTTGAATCATGTTGAGTTGTGGCTCCCTCCCCTCTGTGAGAAATGGCTCACCTGTCCAAATTTCAAATGACGGACTAGGAAACAGAAGCATGGCGAAAATGAGACTTTTAATAACACTCTAGAGCAGTGGTTCTCAACCTTCTGGCCCTTTAAATACAGTTCCTCATGTTGTGACCCAACCATAAAATTATTTTTGTTGCTACTTCATAACTGTAATGTTGCTACTGTTATGAATCATAATGTAAATATCTGATATGCAGGATGGTCTTAGGCGATCCCTGTGAAAGGGTCATTGGACTGCCAAAGGAGTCGCGACCCACAGGTTGAGAACCGCTGCTCTAGAG